CCATTTCTGATGTCCCTTACATGATCGTGTTGGAATATTGCTGAAAGCAGCAAGAAACTATAATGCCGATGAAAACCTTACCATGGAATACTCTTAATTGAGATATAAAAAAATAATCTTATTATTTCACATGCAACTTAAAATGATAATAATACATTCTGCTACATTCAGAGTGTATAATGCTACTACGGTGCCACTATCCTCGCACTCGCATTAAGGGACGTAACCCAAACGCGATATTTTTAAGTTAATAATTATTATAAGACTTGCACTCTCCATTGTCATGGAAAGGAATATAAAACGTCAATGCCTCCATCATCGACCGAAACCGATCCCAAATGGCGTTGAAGGAGAAATAGCGGTTACAATTGTATCAATGGATCAGTAAATATCGGTGATGACATCAGCTGTTCGCGAAATAATGTTCAGATTCTGACTAATACCAAATACGTCTACAAGTGAAGATCCGGGGTAGAATTGGTCTTCAGTAAACTATGCTTGTAGTGAGAGGCGACTAAGGGGATTGGTTGGTCAGACTCGCTGACTTGGTTGACACATGTCATCGTATCCCAATTGCGTTGATGGGTATTTATGCTGTTGGTCACTGGTTTGTCTGGCCCAGACTCTATTATTTACAGACCGCCGCCATCTAGCTGGAATATTGCTGAGTGTGGCGTTAAACAACAACCAACCAATGAACAAACTTTTGACGCCAGAAATGTAAAATGGGTAACAGGTGGTCAGTGTCAATCCTGTCTAGTTGAGATGTCATCCTATCCTTATAATCGTTTATCATACTCCCAGTCTCTAGTTACTGTGGGAAGCTTGAATATTGCTGACTGCGGCTATAGACAATATTCACGCAATACATACCATTATAATGTATCTTTTGTATACATGTTTCAAACACAATACATTTCCGCCCCCAAAGTGTAATTCTGCAATTTCCTTCAAAATGTGCTGTATGGCAAACAATGCATCTTGTTCAAGCCAACTATACAATTATTGGAAAAAACGTTTCTTGCCGAAGAGGTACAGTGTTTTCCGCAAATATTGTGGCTTATCAACATTTTTTAGGTAAGGTTTCATGTAAAACTATGGAGATTTTTATCATGCGACACGACTGTGAGACTGAAACGCCCTGTGTTGTGAAGGAGAGATTAGGTAGACAACAGCATCCAAAACGTGTGTTTTAAATCGTTACGTCACCAGCCCATGTTAAAATACACCGGACTTCGCCGTACGTGACAGGCCACCTTTTCCTTGTGTTCGATGTATTTGACGAAACAAAAAACACAAAGGGGGACTGAACCCTGGTTGTTAGAAATAGAAAAAAGACATATTCTGAAATATAATAGGTGTAGTCCTCTGTTTAACTTGAACATTTGCATATCGACATGCAGTCATTTCTTTCAGTTAGAAAAAAACCCTTATATATCCTGGATATGTTTGAACCATATCCCTTACAAAGAAGGCGTTACTGAATATTTCGATTTAAAAAAAATGAATACAATTATAGTATTTTGAATATAAAAACAGCGATGTCAAAGCATTGTCCCATGGCTCTTTTTTGTTGCTTTTTTGTTTCAAAATATTCACATCACGATAGTTATCAATATATCCTGAGCAAAAACATAGTGCCGTGGACATTTTGAAGGAATGATTTGATGGTGAAGACTAAGCGCATGTATTTCAGATATAATATCCCACAAACTGCTCATCATACCAAACGTTTGGTTCACAGTTGATTGTGACATATTTACCGAGTTTTTAATCATTAAAGAAACAAAACACAATGAGAAACAGACGCATCCATGAATGAAAACAGAGCTTGATTGAAGTGGTCATTGTGATCGGTTAACCCAGTGATCAAATAACCTCGTGCACTGGTCAGTACGGACACGCGCCTTACATGAAAGGGTCGCGTGCGACTTGAACGTTAAAGAAAGCACTAGCAACGGAAGCAAGCTTTAAAAAGGTTACGCCCGGGGCGGGGAAGTCGTTGTCCGGACATCAACGCCGGCACTGTGGATGACGTCTTGCTTGAAACTTGACCGAGCTGAAACAGGTTTTAGAAAAACACCACACCCCATCTTGTCCAATGTCACTCGTGACATGTTTGAGTTTCATCCCCCAAGTTCAAGAGTTCCGTTTAAAATGTTTCAAGGGATTAAAGTTTTTTTTGATTGCATGTTTTCGATTTTGCGGTTTTCTAAACGCTAATGAATTACGCAGCAAACAGTGACACACCCTCCGCTTAACGGTTTGGGGATTAGGGATGTAGAACTAACCTGCTATCTTGTAATGATGAATTTTTGTGGTTAACACTGAATGTTGACTTGGTTACGTAATACATGGCGTGAAATTAATAAAAATATTACAGCGCTTATTATAGCGTTAAACAGTCAAGGATTTCGCTTTGAAGTTCACATCAAACAGATATTAAATCCTCATAACATTTATATCCGAATTAAACCACATGGTTTATTTATATGGTATTGTGTTATATTAAGAAAATATGTAGTGCAAAAATAGAACAGATGACCAGTATAATTTTTTTATTCATCGAAATTATGAATAAACGTGGAATATTCGGCTTTGATGTGCAATGATATCCTGCATTTTTTCATGGGTGTATCATTGCATGACTAGAAGTATTTTATCTACTATTATCGTCATCATTATACTGTCATTGTCGTTTCCTATTTTCATAAAATAAAATGATTTATTTGATGCAAATATCAATAGCATTTACCTTGCAATATGCTTAGGTATATCATGTATCATCTTTATATGTGTGATTAATATTAAAATGTAAATATTTATTAATTGAACGGATATCAATATGTACATAATATGAAAAAATATGAATAATGTCTACACCAGTTAACGCCTATTACGTATGATAACTTCAACCTTTGACAAATATCCCGACCTTTTGCCCGGACCCCCTAAGTAATAAGTGAAAAAATACACCCAATAATAACAGCCTAAATACCTCCCGCGTGGCTTTGTTGAGCCAACACAGCGATCAGCTGCTGTGATTGAGTGAAATCGACTCGTGTCTCTACATCATCACAGTTACTGTCGATGTCCATTTCCTTAACATCAACCTGTGCCACGTGACATCGACTACACCGTACCGCGTCTGCAAAACCCAGCATGCGTCAATCGACAACCAGCTGTTATTGAATAAATATTCCACGATCCACGGGGTAGCGAGAGATGTTACTAAAATTGACACCTACACATGCCGTGATGAAAGATGGCCGCCAATCCTGTCCCTCCGTAAGTCCAAATGTGGTGTTTGAAACAAATAGCCACGCCTCCTTGTCAATCGCGAATCAGCTGACCGCACACACGAACCTAATTTGCTGTTGAGTATATATATTCGACCGATGGCGTTCAGTGTTATCAAAGCTCTCTTTGAGATCGGAGGAGACGAGTTGGAATTGAAAGATAGCGTTTTATTAACGATTTTCTTTACATTTCCAACGTCGTTAAAAGCTTGTGCAAACACGGGATTTGAGAACAAAACACTGGGATTCTTGGAGTTTGGAGATAGCGTTTTCAACGAGTTTTCTTCTATTTTCCAAGTGTGTTTTACATTTCTCGTTACCCTCGGAGGCCTCAGTTTCGAATTTCGGTATCTACCTCTGAACCAGGATATAGCATCAACTGTTGTAGAACGAGGGATCTACAAGTGATATCTATTCACCTTGGTCATTTTGAAAGAGTACAAGGATACAGCGTTGTGAACACCAGAAACAACGTACGTATATTCTCATATTCTTATATCTGTTATATGTGTGTCACTGTGATATTTTAACACATATCTTAAAGTGGCATAACCACTTTATAATATTTTACTTGATGGACACATATTGCAATATCAACAAAATGATTATATATCTCGGTGCTGCAGTGGTTAAACGTATTTCTAGCAGTGTTTGCTAAATGATACGCGTTTGAGAAAATATCAATTCAATATCAGCCAAACACCGAAAGTGTTGAAATGACATTCATGCCAAATGCGGCCATAAGCGTAAATCAAACTTTACAAAATCCCACACCCATTTCTAATCAACAATAGTTTGTGCATTCATAACAATGGTTTGTGTATTCATAACAATGGTTTGTGCATTCATAACAATGGTTTGTGCATTCATAACAATGGTTTGTGCATTCATAACAATGGTTTGTGTATTTATTCATAACAATGGTTTGTGCATTCATAACAATGGTTTGTGCATTCATAACAATGGTTTGTGTATTCATAACAATGGTTTGTGCATTCATAACAATGGTTTGTGTATTCATAACAATGGTCTGTGCATTCATAACAATGGTTTGTGTATTCATAACAATGGTTTGTGCATTCATAACAATGGTTTGTGCATTCATAACAATGGTTTGTGTATTCATAACAATGGTTTGTGCATTCATAACAATGGTTTGTGTATTTATTCATAACAATGGTTTGTGCATTCATAACAATGGTTTGTGCATTCATAACAATGGTTTGTGCATTCATAACAATGGTTTGTGCATTCATAACAATGGTTTGTGCATTCATAACAATGGTTTGTGCATTCATAACAATGGTTTGTGTATTTATTCATAACAATGGTTTGTGCATTCATAACAATGGTTTGTGCATGCATAACAATGGTTTGGTTTGCGTTAGTTGTTCCTTGATGCCGCACAACATTCCTACTAAATGGCGGCGGTCTGTACATGATCGAGTCCCGATCAGACATTCCAGTGATCAACATCATGAGCATCGATCTACGCAATTGGTCAACCACGTCAGCGAGCCTGACCGAACTCCCACAGACACCGTGTATGCCATAGGAGCCTCCTGCAAACACCCCGAGTCCATTCGAAGGCTCTACACAGTCAAGGAACGTCCTGCAACAAAACCCATATGTCTGTGTCTGTCCAACTTGGATCAGTTGAAAGCAGCCAAGCCCGACTTCAGCCCTCTCCTTTGGAACTTTATGGAAAGATGCTACCCAGGTGGTATCAGCTGTGTTGTACCCAAAGGAGAATGGATGTACAATCTTGGGGTCGGTGATGCCTACGATATCGTTGGAACAAAGGACAACATCTGCATCCGTGTTCCTGACAGCTCCGTCTTGGCCTATCTGGTGTCTGTGTCTGGCCCAATTGCCATCACATCGGGCAATCCCAGTGGAGGAGATGACAGCATTCACCACGATATGCTTATCAACTCACTGGGTAGGTATACGTTTACAAATCGGGTTACTACATGGTATAACATTCTTCACCTTAGATGATCGGTTCAATAAAACGGCGAGCTGAAATGTGTATCATTTACATACATGTAATTTGCATCAAAAGTCAAGGTGACTCATGAGGTGCTTATCTCGCTACAACATATTGAAAGCAGAAGGATATGGTATTTACGGGAGTGCATATGCCTGCAATGATGTCCATACTTAAAGTGAAATTCATGTGCACTTTTAGTCCCTTTTCATACCATACTGGATTTCTTTTGCAGGACACAAGCTTGATGGCGTCATCTGTGATGGCGATTCCCGAGAGCTGAGCGCATCAACAGTAGTCAACTGTATGAACATCGACCAAGGTATGTGTGACTCCTAAGAAATACTTCTTTTACCATTCTTAATACAAAACATGTCATTCGGAGGTGGAACCAAACTGCTCAGGAGCTATAATTATGAACAGCTGTTTTCAAAGTATAACATTTTCTTGACGAGTCATGAAGAATGTAAACGTTTGGCAAAAGATATATCTTAGCTGAGGGCAGAGTTCGGTTGTTTGTAATACTGAATCACTCATTAAGTAAACTGAAAGCCACCCTGCTTGTAAAGTCTGTTCACATCCAATCTCCCCTTGTGTTTGTAGGTGAGATCACCTATTTTCGAGTGGGGTGCACACCACAGGAAATTGTGGACAAACATTTGGAGGACGCCAGAGCAGAAATTGAAGGCAAAACAAGCTACCCTCCATGCACGCTGTACGAGTCAAATAAATCCTCCGATCTAAGAGCCGCCGCTGCTATTCTGAGTAATGGTGGTGTGGTTGGAACTCCCACAGACACCGTGTATGCCATAGGAGCCTCCTGCAAACACCCCCGAGTCCATTCGAAGGCTCTACACAGTCAAGGAACGTCCTGCAACAAAACCCATATGTCTGTGTCTGTCCAACTTGGATCAGTTGAAAGCAGCCAAGCCCGACTTCAGCCCTCTCCTTTGGAACTTTATGGAAAGATGCTACCCAGGTGGTATCAGCTGTGTTGTACCCAAAGGAGAATGGATGTACAATCTTGGGGTCGGTGATGCCTACGATATCGTTGGAACAAAGGACAACATCTGCATCCGTGTTCCTGACAGCTCCGTCTTGGCCTATCTGGTGTCTGTGTCTGGCCCAATTGCCATCACATCGGGCAATCCCAGTGGAGGAGATGACAGCATTCACCACGATATGCTTATCAACTCACTGGGTAGGTATACGTTTACAAATCGGGTTACTACATGGTATAACATTCTTCACCTTAGATGATCGGTTCAATAAAACGGCGAGCTGAAATGTGTATCATTTACATACATGTAATTTGCATCAAAAGTCAAGGTGACTCATGAGGTGCTTATCTCGCTACAACATATTGAAAGCAGAAGGATATGGTATTTACGGGAGTGCATATGCCTGCAATGATGTCCATACTTAAAGTGAAATTCATGTGCACTTTTAGTCCCTTTTCATACCATACTGGATTTCTTTTGCAGGACACAAGCTTGATGGCGTCATCTGTGATGGCGATTCCCGAGAGCTGAGCGCATCAACAGTAGTCAACTGTATGAACATCGACCAAGGTATGTGTGACTCCTAAGAAATACTTCTTTTACCATTCTTAATACAAAACATGTCATTCGGAGGTGGAACCAAACTGCTCAGGAGCTATAATTATGAACAGCTGTTTTCAAAGTATAACATTTTCTTGACGGGTCATGAAGAATGTAAACGTTTGGCAAAGATATATCTTAGCTGAGGGCAGAGTTCGGTCGTTTGTAATACTGAATCACTCATTAAGTAAACTGAAAGCCACCCTGCTTGTAAAGTCTGTTCACATCCAATCTCCCCTTGTGCTTGTAGGTGAGATCACCTATTTTCGAGTGGGGTGCACACCACAGGAAATTGTGGACAAACATTTGGAGGACGCCAGAGCAGAAATTGAAGGCAAAACAAGCTACCCTCCATGCACGCTGTACGAGTCAAATAAATCCTCCGATCTAAGAGCCGCCGCTGCTATTCTGAGTAATGGTGGTGTGGTTGGAACTCCCACAGACACCGTGTATGCCATAGGAGCCTCCTGCAAACACCCCGAGTCCATTCGAAGGCTCTACACAGTCAAGGAACGTCCTGCAACAAAACCCATATGTCTGTGTCTGTCCAACTTGGATCAGTTGAAAGCAGCCAAGCCCGACTTCAGCCCTCTCCTTTGGAACTTTATGGAAAGATGCTACCCAGGTGGTATCAGCTGTGTTGTACCCAAAGGAGAATGGATGTACAATCTTGGGGTCGGTGATGCCTACGATATCGTTGGAACAAAGGACAACATCTGCATCCGTGTTCCTGACAGCTCCGTCTTGGCCTATCTGGTGTCTGTGTCTGGCCCAATTGCCATCACATCGGGCAATCCCAGTGGAGGAGATGACAGCATTCACCACGATATGCTTATCAACTCACTGGGTAGGTATACGTTTACAAATCGGGTTACTACATGGTATAACATTCTTCACCTTAGATGATCGGTTCAATAAAACGGCGAGCTGAAATGTGTATCATTTACATACATGTAATTTGCATCAAAAGTCAAGGTGACTCATGAGGTGCTTATCTCGCTACAACATATTGAAAGCAGAAGGATATGGTATTTACGGGAGTGCATATGCCTGCAATGATGTCCATACTTAAAGTGAAATTCATGTGCACTTTTAGTCCCTTTTCATACCATACTGGATTTCTTTTGCAGGACACAAGCTTGATGGCGTCATCTGTGATGGCGATTCCCGAGAGCTGAGCGCATCAACAGTAGTCAACTGTATGAACATCGACCAAGGTATGTGTGACTCCTAAGAAATACTTCTTTTACCATTCTTAATACAAAACATGTCATTCGGAGGTGGAACCAAACTGCTCAGGAGCTATAATTATGAACAGCTGTTTTCAAAGTATAACATTTTCTTGACGAGTCATGAAGAATGTAAACGTTTGGCAAAGATATATCATAGCTGAGGGGAGAGGTTCGGTCGTTTGTAATACTGAATCACTCATTAAGTAAACTGAAAGCCACCCTGCTTGTAAAGTCTGTTCACATCCATCTCTCCCTTGTGCTTGTAGGTGAGATCACCTATTTTCGAGTGGGGTGCACACCACAGGAAATTGTGGACAAACATTTGGAGGACGCCAGAGCAGAAATTGAAGGCAAAACAAGCTACCCTCCATGCACGCTGTACGAGTCAAATAAATCCTCCGATCTAAGAGCCGCCGCTGCTATTCTGAGTAATGGTGGTGTGGTTGGAACTCCCACAGACACCGTGTATGCCATAGGAGCCTCCTGCAAACACCCCGAGTCCATTCGAAGGCTCTACACAGTCAAGGAACGTCCTGCAACAAAACCCATATGTCTGTGTCTGTCCAACTTGGATCAGTTGAAAGCAGCCAAGCCCGACTTCAGCCCTCTCCTTTGGAACTTTATGGAAAGATGCTACCCAGGTGGTATCAGCTGTGTTGTACCCAAAGGAGAATGGATGTACAATCTTGGGGTCGGTGATGCCTACGATATCGTTGGAACAAAGGACAACATCTGCATCCGTGTTCCTGACAGCTCCGTCTTGGCCTATCTGGTGTCTGTGTCTGGCCCAATTGCCATCACATCGGGCAATCCCAGTGGAGGAGATGACAGCATTCACCACGATATGCTTATCAACTCACTGGGTAGGTATACGTTTACAAATCGGGTTACTACATGGTATAACATTCTTCACCTTAGATGATCGGTTCAATAAAACGGCGAGCTGAAATGTGTATCATTTACATACATGTAATTTGCATCAAAAGTCAAGGTGACTCATGAGGTGCTTATCTCGCTACAACATATTGAAAGCAGAAGGATATGGTATTTACGGGAGTGCATATGCCTGCAATGATGTCCATACTTAAAGTGAAATTCATGTGCACTTTTAGTCCCTTTTCATACCATACTGGATTTCTTTTGCAGGACACAAGCTTGATGGCGTCATCTGTGATGGCGATTCCCGAGAGCTGAGCGCATCAACAGTAGTCAACTGTATGAACATCGACCAAGGTATGTGTGACTCCTAAGAAATACTTCTTTTACCATTCTTAATACAAAACATGTCATTCGGAGGTGGAACCAAACTGCTCAGGAGCTATAATTATGAACAGCTGTTTTCAAAGTATAACATTTTCTTGACGAGTCATGAAGAATGTAAACGTTTGGCAAAGATATATCTTAGCTGAGGGCAGAGTTCGGTTGTTTGTAATACTGAATCACTCATTAAGTAAACTGAAAGCCACCCTGCTTGTAAAGTCTGTTCACATCCAATCTCTCCCTTGTGCTTGTAGGTGAGATCACCTATTTTCGAGTGGGGTGCACACCACAGGAAATTGTGGACAAACATTTGGAGGACGCCAGAGCAGAAATTGAAGGCAAAACAAGCTACCCTCCATGCACGCTGTACGAGTCAAATAAATCCTCCGATCTAAGAGCCGCCGCTGCTATTCTGAGTAATGGTGGTGTGGTTGGAACTCCCACAGACACCGTGTATGCCATAGGAGCCTCCTGCAAACACCCCGAGTCCATTCGAAGGCTCTACACAGTCAAGGAACGTCCTGCAACAAAACCCATATGTCTGTGTCTGTCCAACTTGGATCAGTTGAAAGCAGCCAAGCCCGACTTCAGCCCTCTCCTTTGGAACTTTATGGAAAGATGCTACCCAGGTGGTATCAGCTGTGTTGTACCCAAAGGAGAATGGATGTACAATCTTGGGGTCGGTGATGCCTACGATATCGTTGGAACAAAGGACAACATCTGCATCCGTGTTCCTGACAGCTCCGTCTTGGCCTATCTGGTGTCTGTGTCTGGCCCAATTGCCATCACATCGGGCAATCCCAGTGGAGGAGATGACAGCATTCACCACGATATGCTTATCAACTCACTGGGTAGGTATACGTTTACAAATCGGGTTACTACATGGTATAACATTCTTCACCTTAGATGATCGGTTCAATAAAACGGCGAGCTGAAATGTGTATCATTTACATACATGTAATTTGCATCAAAAGTCAAGGTGACTCATGAGGCGCTTATCTCGCTACAACATATTGAAAGCAGAAGGATATGGTATTTACGGGAGTGCATATGTCTGCAATGATGTCCATACTTAAAGTGAAATTCATGTGCACTTTTAGTCCCTTTTCATACCATACTGGATTTCTTTTGCAGGACACAAGCTTGATGGCGTCATCTGTGATGGCGATTCCCGAGAGCTGAGCGCATCAACAGTAGTCAACTGTATGAACATCGACCAAGGTATGTGTGACTCCTAAGAAATACTTCTTTACCATTCTTAATACAAAACATGTCATTCGGAGGTGGAACCAAACTGCTCAGGAGCTATAATTATGAACAGCTGTTTTCAAAGTATAACATTTTCTTGACGAGTCATGAAGAATGTAAACGTTTGGCAAAAAGATATATCATAGCTGAGGGAGAGTTCGGTCGTTTGTAATACTGAATCACTCATTAAGTAAACTGAAAGCCACCCTGCTTGTAAAGTCTGTTCACATCCAATCTCTCCCTTGTGCTTGTAGGTGAGATCACCTATTTTCGAGTGGGGTGCACACCACAGGAAATTGTGGACAAACATTTGGAGGACGCCAGAGCAGAAATTGAAGGCAAAACAAGCTACCCTCCATGCACGCTGTACGAGTCAAATAAATCCTCCGATCTAAGAGCCGCCGCTGCTATTCTGAGTAATGGTGGTGTGGTTGGAACTCCCACAGACACCGTGTATGCCATAGGAGCCTCCTGCAAACACCCCGAGTCCATTCGAAGGCTCTACACAGTCAAGGAACGTCCTGCAACAAAACCCATATGTCTGTGTCTGTCCAACTTGGATCAGTTGAAAGCAGCCAAGCCCGACTTCAGCCCTCTCCTTTGGAACTTTATGGAAAGATGCTACCCAGGTGGTATCAGCTGTGTTGTACCCAAAGGAGAATGGATGTACAATCTTGGGGTCGGTGATGCCTACGATATCGTTGGAACAAAGGACAACATCTGCATCCGTGTTCCTGACAGCTCCGTCTTGGCCTATCTGGTGTCTGTGTCTGGCCCAATTGCCATCACATCGGGCAATCCCAGTGGAGGAGATGACAGCATTCACCACGATATGCTTATCAACTCACTGGGTAGGTATACGTTTACAAATCGGGTTACTACATGGTATAACATTCTTCACCTTAGATGATCGGTTCAATAAAACGGCGAGCTGAAATGTGTATCATTTACATACATGTAATTTGCATCAAAAGTCAAGGTGACTCATGAGGCGCTTATCTCGCTACAACATATTGAAAGCAGAAGGATATGGTATTTACGGGAGTGCATATGTCTGCAATGATGTCCATACTTAAAGTGAAATTCATGTGCACTTTTAGTCCCTTTTCATACCATACTGGATTTCTTTTGCAGGACACAAGCTTGATGGCGTCATCTGTGATGGCGATTCCCGAGAGCTGAGCGCATCAACAGTAGTCAACTGTATGAACATCGACCAAGGTATGTGTGACTCCTAAGAAATACTTCTTTTACCATTCTTAATACAAAACATGTCATTCGGAGGTGGAACCAAACTGCTCAGGAGCTATAATTATGAACAGCTGTTTTCAAAGTATAACATTTTCTTGACGAGTCATGAAGAATGTAAACGTTTGGCAAAGATATATCATAGCTGAGGGGAGAGTTCGGTCGTTTGTAATACTGAATCACTCATTAAGTAAACTGAAAGCCACCCTGCTTGTAAAGTCTGTTCACATCCAATCTCTCCCTTGTGCTTGTAGGTGAGATCACCTATTTTCGAGTGGGGTGCACACCACAGGAAATTGTGGACAAACATTTGGAGGACGCCAGAGCAGAAATTGAAGGCAAAACAAGCTACCCTCCATGCACGCTGTACGAGTCAAATAAATCCTCCGATCTAAGAGCCGCCGCTGCTATTCTGAGTAATGGTGGTGTGGTTGGAACTCCCACAGACACCGTGTATGCCATAGGAGCCTCCTGCAAACACCCCGAGTCCATTCGAAGGCTCTACACAGTCAAGGAACGTCCTGCAACAAAACCCATATGTCTGTGTCTGTCCAACTTGGATCAGTTGAAAGCAGCCAAGCCCGACTTCAGCCCTCTCCTTTGGAACTTTATGGAAAGATGCTACCCAGGTGGTATCAGCTGTGTTGTACCCAAAGGAGAATGGATGTACAATCTTGGGGTCGGTGATGCCTACGATATCGTTGGAACAAAAGATAGCGTCTGCATTCGTGTTCCCGACAGTTCCGTCATGGCCTATCTGGTGTCTGTGTCTGGCCCAATTGCCATCACATCGGGCAATCCCAGTGGAGGAGATGACAGCATTCACCACGATATGCTTATCAACTCACTGGGTGACGGGAATTAGGAAAATCATGTAGGTATAATTAATTCCGGTTTCACATCCACACCCATCTCTGCCTTGACTTGATGTTTTTTCTATTCACAGGTGACATCAATTTCTTCCGGGTCGGATGCACCCCGCGTAGTGTCGTATACCGGCATCTGAGAGACGCAAAGGCTGATATTTTCGGAAAGAAACATGTCCTGGAGAAGATGGTCCCCCTGTTTATGATGCAAGGAGGGGCATAGCATCTATCACATCAATTGCGTGTCTCTGTGCGTGTTTGAGTGCGTGTGTGTCTGTGTGAGCGCGTGTATATGTGTGTGGCTATATTTCCTTTGTGTGTTTGCGCTTAGGGGTCACTGGATGTCCTTAACAAAATTAGATCACTAATAAGGTGCGTTTACAGCGGCCTGCACGTCACTGGGCTGAGTGAAACTGTATGATTCGTTGAATTTTGAAACTGAGGATGGAGATTGCGTCATAGGAGATTAAATTGACAATGTGTTAATATAAAGCATGTGATTTAATATCCTATTGGAACGAAACATCCTCGTGTGCAGTGGCATATATTTCATTATTAGATTAATAAACCTCAGCAATGTTGTGAAGGATATCAAGTGATCTCTCGACAAGTTCGGGTATGGATTTTGTACTCATCTCATTGATTTTTATTGTTGATGTATTTCTGTTATTTTGTTCCTATTCCTAACTGGTTCATGGTTAACATATGTAACGCTGTTAATGTGTTAATGCTCTGAAAATTAAGTTCATAATACGAATGAAAAATAGAAACAAATTTTTGTTTCATGTCACTTAAATTACAAACAGGTCACAGAGAACATATTCTATCAGGTAAAATGCTTCCTGTAAAAGAGTTTACTACAATATTTCAACTTTTCCATGTTTGTTCAACGATGGCTTAAATATATTTGTGTGAACGTTGTCAATGTACATCCCGAATGATTGACGTCCCTATTAAGTACATGTTATATATATTTGTTTAGCGATGTTGTATTATTCGTTATAGACCCTTTCCATTGGTCCAATTCATTTGTTTTCTCAAACTGTTCTTCAACATATTAATTTGGCATCCGGTATGCATTATTGTCGTGCGTGTTCAGTGTCTTGTATATTTCGTAATTTGTGAGCATATCCACTCCATTTCATTTTATAACACAGATGCAATACATGGTAGTCTGTTTCATGTATATATCATCGATCGTTACATTAGAGGTTCCTATAGCAGTGAATACCTGCCATAATGTCTTGTACATAAAGAATACAGTATTATTGTTCATCTTTTGTTTCTTGCATATGATGTATTGGAGTTGAATAAAGGTATTGTACATTATCAAGTTCGTGTATTTGTTTACTTTTACTGTATACCGTTCAAAGAAAGCAATGGAACCCTTCACATGAAACTGTGCTAAAAGCCTGTTGAACGATTCCAACTGTATCATGAACTTAAGAATCCCCTATCGAACGATGATTATGCCGGTTGTTCGTGAAAAGGCGAGCGCATCCTGCCTCATCGGTGCCACACATCACAAACACATACAAAGGAAAATCATGTTGTTACTTTATATAACCCACGGGAATATATTAGAAGTAGGGAATTGGATCGAACGTCATTTTTGCCCATATTGCGTTAAATTTGGAAATTCCATTTGTACCTTTGTAAACTCACTCTTGGACCACGGCAATTGCTCTTTGTGTAGGACACAACTTTTGATAAGGATATTTTTTTATATTTCCACAACACAATTCTCGTTATATATAAAGTGTATGATTAAACAGAAAGACATATCTGATTTTCCTATCAAAACTGAGTGTTAAATATACACTCTTCCAAAAAGAAAAGAAACGCATAAGACATTTATAGAAGAATGTATTGCGTTATTCTAAAAGCAATGATTTCGTGTAATTGCAACACAACAGCAGCCTTTATTGTTGTGTTTCTGTTTACTTGACTGCTGGGCACCGTCTCGGCATAGACTGGATAAGTCCACGAAGTTGCCCTTGCGGAATTCTTGCAATGCAATGGCCAGTTGTGGAAGTGTCTGAGACGTGTTTTAACGTTGACGTACACGTCGATCGAGTTCATCCATAGTTGTTCTATTGGGTTTAGATCTGGTGATCAGGAAGGCCATGGCAAGACATTGACGTTAGAATTGGCACGATAGCGGGCCCTGACGCGTGCTGTATGTAAAGACGCGCTGTCATGTTGGAACAACTTCCTCTCTCGGTCCATAATCGGAAGCATTTGACGTGCAAGGACTTCGTTGATGTACCGAATTGCTGTCAAATCCCCCCTGAACCACCACTAAACCAGGTCTTTGTGTGCTGGACATTACACCCCACACCATGACACTCCACCGAATCTGCCGACCTGTCGAATGCAATTAGGAGCAAAACTTTCATTTCTCTGACCTAAAACACGTTGTCTTCCATCCAGTCGGTGAAGAAGAAATCGTAATTCATCACTGAACCAGACTCGCCTCCAGTTGCTAAGGTTCCAGTTAAGGTTCTAAAGTGTCCACTCTACGACACCACTGCAAGCGATGGCGCCGATGGAAGTCTCTCAAAACAGGGGCGACAACTGGCCTTCTTGGTCGAATCCCCACTTCACGCAATCGATTCGTGACAGTTTGGTCGGAAATTCTTCTCAAGCCAGGGATGCGTTGTGGCATGACGATGACGCAAGTGAGCAACCCGGATGTAGCGGTCCTGGGCTTGGGTGGTAACTCTTGGATCGCTGCTTCTCGGACGATCTTAGGTCTGCAGGAAACGATCCCAAAGGCGAGATATGGTGCCCTGATTAACGTTGATGTTGGGTAACTGCAGACTGCGACTCCCCAGCTTCAAGGCGGCCTATGGCGATGTTTCGATTGGCGGCACTCGGTCGTGGCATGATGATTTCCTCTTTTCCAGGCAAAAACGAATGACAAAATGTAACACAACGTTTGCCTTTTTACAGTGATCGATTCCGCATGCTTTTCCGCTTACTTGAACATGCATTTGGCTTTGCATGTTCTTTGGTGACGTTTTGGCGAACATTTCTTTAAACGCTTCTAAAACAAATGAAAAGACTTAAAGTTGCTGCGTTTTGGCGATGAAGTAGTTTACAATCACACAAAGATGACTTTTTGGAAGGAAATAGTATAATTGTATTGCTTTTGCCGCAGCTACATGAGTCCAGTTTTCTCAAAATCGCCCATGCGTTTCTTCTACTTGTTTTTTGCATTCAATTGCATTAATTAGATGGACACCCTTCACATAATCTATGTTTCACATGCATTCAATATAAGTTGTTATGTTTGTTTGTCCCGTTTTAAATAAATCACAATTTGTGTACAATATGAAGCATTGTTATCGAAAACGGTGTCCGGGTCGAGAAAAAAACATGCAACATGCATTGTCTTGCCTATGAATAATTCAGTTCATGTACGGTTTCTGTATCGAGTGATCCATCTCCCTCACTCACTTGCCCGATGTGATGCAAATCTCCATAAGAAAACAAACGGCAAATACCAAAAGGCCAGCATCATTGCTCATGCTGTCTAACACCGGTATGACTTGTGAAAACAAGCCGAAATAGTACTGACTGGCGGACATAACATTCTCTCCTTGATTCACACCTGTGAACCAATAAAGCGGAACCAATCAAAGCATAAAATCAGTAAATTTCATGTCTTTCACGAGTACCTATTTCTGTTTGAGCAATCCGGTTTCAAAGTGACGCACGTAACAGGTGTGTGGTTGTAAACGTACTGACCGGGGTCATTTTAGTTCTATGTCTGAGTGAACTTCCCCCTGAGGTCAAACGCCCTTTGATGTCCGTTTACTGTCCACAGCAATTGTACGGGGAGTGGTCAGGTCCATCGAACCTGACCACTCGGTGCTTGATGTACAGCCACTGGACGCTTCTTTGTTTTCTGATCAAAGTTGCATATGTTTTGCGATGTACAAAACTGTTTTTTTCTATGATCTTAGACTTTCGTATAACTTGCGACTGTTAGATTTCTCGGTTTGAAGATGAATATCTAACAGCAATAACTCACTCAGGATCGTATTTCAACACATTTTAGGAAACTGAGAATACAAGATTTGTAAATGTCTTAACAAACAGTTCTAAGATTTATCAACAATGTCCAAATGGTCAGTTAGGAGTTAGATGAATGTCCTTTCAAAATATGCATTTTTAACTGTTCATAACACCTGAAACAGGGCTACAGCTAAACGATTGTCTAAAAAAGATTGATGTAAAAGGTTTTTAAAAGCGTTGGTGTTTTTTTGCACCAGATTCGGAACCAGAGCAAGCCCTCGATACAAGCTGTGTATTAGGTGATGAAGGTGATGACTTACAAACTTTAAGCAAAAGCAACGTAACCATAGTTCTGTTGTTCCAGATTTACAAATGATAGAAAATCTTCTTGTTACATTAATCTATTGTATCGGTTTCCTGACAATATTGAACACTCGTTAAAACGCCATTACCACAACTGATCTTTTTAGAAAATTAACGCTGCGTATGAAATGGATTAGTAAATTGTGGTCGAACATGGAATGATGAAGAGCATTACTCTCGAATGAATCGGTGAATGTTGTTTTATATTCCAGGGACATCACATGGGTTTTCCTGAACCAAACAGGCCATTCTTTGAAGTTGAAACAAGTGAGTGTGGGTTTACACCGCATTTAGCAATACTCCAGCAATATCACGGCTAGGGACACCAGAAATGGGCTTCACACATTATAGTGACAACTGCCAGTATTTGCCAGGTTGTCCGCTTGACACATCAGGAGTTGCTTCCCTTGGACCAACAGCCGTGAAAAATGTGTATCTCGTCCCTTGACCACCACCAAAGTAATGTATCACCTCGTAGTGTTTGTTGATCTAACTGATGTGGAGAGGTAAAAAGAACAACCTTCCTAATATATTCTGCATATAACAATTCTGAAGCTTAGTCGACATTCAGTAAATATATTTAGCTGGAGGTTTCAGCTGACGAACAGACTTA